CTGGTCCCAGTGGGAGCCTATGCACCCCAGTTTCCTGATCTTCTCCACCTACAGGACCAGGACCAGGACTAGGACCAGGAAGAGAACTACCAGAGTATTGGACTTGCTTGCACCCACCAAATGGGTACTCTGGCCCACTAACTGCCACGCCAGGAAGAGGATCTTTCTGCATTCACTAGAAGAAGGGATGGGAAGGAGACAACACAAAACCACACTCAGCAACAGAAAAACAAATATGACACTGCCAGATTCTAGAGACTCTACACCAGCAAGACTCTTATAACATATCAATGCAAATGAAGCAGAAGAGAATGACTTTAAAAACAACTTCATGAAAATGATGAAGGCCCTCAAAGAGGACATGGGAAAATCCCTTAAAGAAATGAAAGAAAAAACAAACCAAAAAAATCCCAAAAATGCAACAAATGGAGGAAAAGACAAAGCAAAAATTGCAAGAAACAATTCAAAGAGTGCAAGGGTTGAAAACTGAAATAGAGACAATAAAATAAACATAGTCTAAAGGAAGGCTGGAAATAGAATAGCTGGGCAAACTGTCAGGTACTACAGATGCAAGCATAACCAACAGAATATAAGACATGGAAGAGAGAATCTTAGGTGTTGAAGATACACTAGCAGAAATAGATTCATCATTCAAAGAAAATCTAAGTCCAACAAATCCCTAACACAAAATATCCAGGAAATATGGGACACCACAAAAAGACCAAACCTAAGAATAATAGGTAAGAAGAAGGTGAAGAAAACCACTTCAAAGGGGCAGAAAACATATCCAACAAAATCATAGAAGAAAACGTTCCCAACCTAAAGAAAGACATGCCAATGAAGGTACAAGAAGCTTACAGAACACCAAATAGAGTGGACCACACAAAAAAGTCCCTTTACCACATAATAACCAAGACCCCGAACATACAGAATAAAGAAAGAATATTTAGAGCAGCTAGGGCAAAAGGCCAAGTAACACATAAAGGCAGACCTATCAGAATTACACCTGACTTCTCCATGGAAACTCTGAAAGCCAGTAGGTCCTGGATAGATATTCTACCAACATTAAAAGACCACGGATGTCAGCCCAGACTACTATACCCAGCAAAGCTTTCAGTCACATTTGATGAAGAAAACAAGATACACCATGACAAAACAAGATTCAAACAATACATATCCACTAACCCAGCCCTACAGAAAGTTCTGGAAGGATAACTCCAATCCAAGGAGTTAACTACAACCAGAAAAACTTAGGCAATAGATAATCCCACCTTACCAACAGCCAAAAGAAAACGAGTGGAAATCCACATATTATTCCACCACCACCAACCATTACAAAACAAACAAGAATGAGCAATCAATGGTCATCAATATCCGTCAATATTAATGGTCTTAATTCGCCCATAAAAAAACACAGGCTAACAGAATGGATTTGAAGACAGAACCTATCCTTTTGCGGCATACAAGAAACACACTTCAGCCTCAAAGACAGACATTAACTTAGAGTTAAGGGTTGAGAAAAGATTTTCCAACCAAATGGACCAAAGAAACAAGTGAGAGTAGCAATCCATAATATCTAACAAATTAGATTTTAAAATAAAATCAATCTTCAGGTTGACTGCTTAAAGCCTCAAAAAAAAAATAAAGTCAATCAAAAGAGATGAAGGAGGTCACTTCATACTCATCACAGGAGAAATCCACCAATATGAAGTTTCAATTCTGAACATCTATGCCCCAAATACAAAGGAATGCACGTTCATAAAAGAAACATTACTAAAACTCGAATCACATATAAAGCCCCACACACTTATAGTGGGAGACTTCAACACCCCACTCTCTCCACTAGACAGGACTACCAGACAGAAACTGCATGGAACCTTCTCAAAAATCGACCACATACTTGGCAACATATCAAACCGCAGCAGGTACAAAAAAATTGGAATAACTCCATGCATCTTATCAGACCACAATGCGTTAAAATTAGAATTCAACAACAACACAAAGTGCAGAAACACTACAAATTCATGGAAATTGAATAATGCACAATTGCACCATTTTTGGGTAAAAGCAGAAATAAAAATGAAATTAAAGACCCCTAGAATTCAATGAGAATGAAGATATAACATAACCAAATTTATGGGACACTTTGAAAGCGGTGCTAAAGAGTTCATAGCACGAAGTGCCCACATGAAGAAACTGGAGAATAGTTACACTAGAGAATTAACATCCCAGCTGAAAGCTCTAGAATACAAAGAAGCAAACTCACCCAGGAGGAGTAGACTCCAGGAAATAATCAAACTGAGGGCTGAAATCAATAAAGTAGAAACTAGGAAAACAATACAAAGAATCAATGTAACAAAGGGTTGGTTCTTTGAGAAAATCAACAAGATGGACAAACCTTAGTCCAAACTTACCAAATGGCCGAGTGTGAACATGCAAATTAACAAAATCAGAAATGAAAAGGGGGATATAACAACTGACACTGAGGAAATCCAGAGAACCATCAGGGCATCCTTTGAAAACCTGTACTCCACAAAATTCAAAAATTTAAAGGAAATGGACAATTTTCTGGATAGCTATCACTTGCCAAAATTAAATCAAGAACAGGTAAGCAATTTAAATAGACCTATAACCCCTATGGAAATAGAAGCAGTTATCGAAAGTCTTCCAACAGGCCTTAGTGCAAAATTCTACTAGAAATTCAAAGAACAGCTTATACCAATTCTCAAAGTATTCCACGCAATAGAAGCAAAAGTGTTTTTCCCAAATTCTTTTTATGAGGCTTCAATAACCTTGATACCCAAGCCACACAAAGACACAACTAAGAAAGAGAACTTCAGACCAATATCCCTCATGAACATTGATGCAAAAATACTCAATAAAATACTGGCAAATCGAATCGAAGAACAAATCAAAACAATCATCCACCATGATCAAGTAGGTTTCATCCCAGGGATGCAGGAATGGTTCAACATACGTAAATCTTTCCATGTAATCCACGATATAAACAAGCTGAGAAACAAAAATCACATGAGCTTCTCACTAGATGCTAAAAGAGCCTTTGACAAAACCCAACACCCCTTCATGATAAAGATCTTGGAGAGGTTTGGGATAACAGGAACATACCTAAACTTAATAAAAGCTATATACAGCAAACCAACAGCCAACATCAAACTAAATGGACAGAAACGCATCCTGATTCCTTTAAAATCAGGAACAATACAAGGCTGTCCACTCTCTTCATACCTCTTCAGTATTGTCTTTGAAGTTCTAGCTAGAGCAATAAGACAACAAAAGGAGATCAAGGGGACACAAATTGGAAAGGAAGAGGTCAAACTTTCACTATTTGCTGATGATATGATAGTTTACATAAGTAACCCAAAAAAACTCTACCAGAGAACTCCTACAGCTGATAAATATTTTCAGCAAAGTGGCAGGATACAAGATTAATTCAAGAAAATCAGAAGCCCTAGTATATACAGAAGATAAAAGGGCTGAGAAAGAAATCAGAGAAACATCACCCCTTACAATTGCCACAAACAACATAAAATACCTTGGAATAATGCTAGCCAAACAAGTGAAAAACCTGTATCGCAAAACTTTGAGTCTTTAAAGAAAGAAATCAAAGAAGACACCAGAAAATGGAAAGACCTCCCAAGCTCTTGGATAGGTAGGATCAGCATAATAAAAATGGCAATCTTGCCAAAAGCAATCTACAGATTCAATGCAATACCCATTAAAATCCCAGCACAATTCTTCACAGACCTTGAAAGAGCAATAATCAACTTTGTATGGAAAAACAAAAGACACAGGATAGCCAAAATAACCTTATTCAACAAAGCAACATCTGGAGGCATCACCATCCCTCATTTCAAGCTCTATTGTAGAGCTATAGTCCTGAAAACAGCTTGGTATTGGCACAAAAATAGACAGGTAGACCAATGGAATCAAACTGAACACCCCGATATTAACCCATACACTTATGAACATCTGATCTTCGACAAAGAAGCTAAAATTATACAGTGGAAAAAAGAAAGCATCTTCAACAAATGGTGCTTGCATAACTGGATATTGGCATGTAGAAGACTGCAGATAGATCCATGTCTATCGCTATGCACAAAACTTAAGTCCAAATGGATCAAAGACCTCAACATAAATCCAGCCACAATGAACTTCTTAGAAGAGAAAGTGGAAGGTACCCTTGAACAATTTGGTGCAGGAAACAGATTCCTGAACATAACACCAGAAGCATAGATGCTTTGATTGACAATAAATGGGACATCCTGAAACTGAGAAGCTTCTGTAAGGCAAAGGACACAGTCAACAAGATAAAAAGGCACCCCACAGAATGGGAAAAGATATTCACTAACCCCAAATATGACAGAGGGCTGATCTCCACAATTTACAAAGAACTCAGGAAGCAAGTCTCCAAAACACCAAAGGATCCAATTAAAAAGTAGGGGACAGAACTAAATAGAGAATTCTCAAAGGAGGAGTCTAAAATGGCTGAGAGACACTTAAGAAAGTGCTCAACATCCTTAGCCATTAGGGAAATGCAAGTCAACACAACTCTGAGATACCATCTTACTCCTGTCAGAATGGCTAAAATCAAAAACACCAATGACAGTTTATGCTAGAGGGAATGTGGGGAATGGGGAATATTCCTCCACTGCTGGTGGGAGTGCCAACTCGTACAACCACTTTGGAAATCAGTATGGAGATTCTTCAGGAAAATGGGAATCAGCCTACCCACAAGACCCAGCAATTCCACTCTTAGGCATATACCCAAAAGATGCATATTCATACAACAAGGACATCTGTTCCACTATATTCATAATAGCATTATTTGTAATAGCCAGAACCTGGAAGCAACCTAGATGCTCCTTAACTGAAGAGTGGATAGAGAAAATGTGGTACATTTACACAATGGAAAAAAAATGGATTTTAGACATGTATCAGGCAAATGCCACCCTATAGTCCCACTGCCAGAGTCTGGGAAACAGAACCTTCATCCAATGACTGATGGAAGCAGAGGCAGACACCCATGGCTAAACACTGAGCTGAACTCAAGGAACCAGTGACACTCAAGGCAGCAGTATTCTACCTCATTTAGAGAGACAATATGCATGAAAAAGTCAGTTCTGTTTGGGGTAGGGAAAATGGAAATTTGCTAATATTCATCAAGACATTGTCAGGTGGAGAAAGCACAGACTGATAAAAATGGCCTGGGAAGGTGAGAGCTCCCAGCCTCAGCCTGAGGCCATTAACTGTGTGAATTGTATAACTAATGTTCCTATTCTAATTCTGTGCTTATTAAGCAATACTGTAATTCTAATTTGGCTTCCTGTGGCTGTCAGGGAAACAAATCTTGGTTGTCTCAGAGAATGTATTGTCTGTACTAACCATGACAAAATTGAGCTGCAACCATGCAGTTAGCTATTTCTTTTCAGAAATTAACTATTCTACCTTGGAAACTAAGAGACTGAAAAACAAAAGCAGCAACTTGGCAAAATTATATTTCAGAAATATCTCAGATTTCAGAGAGGAGACGGAACTTAAGAAATAAACACATGACTGAGCAAACAAGATAAATAAGGTGAGATTTTCTAGTCTGGAGAACCTGAATTAGGAATATGTAGGGCTGTGAGAATATGTGCTTGAAGAGAGAATATTTCTCTGCACTCTTGTTAGGAATAAGTACTGATTTGAATAGTTGAGCAATGTTATTACTTTATGTAGAATTTAACGTGTCTTATTACTGATGAAGTTTGGAAATTTTTTGGCTAATTCTTTTGTTTAATCATTGATTAACGTTTTATTTGATCTTCTATTTTTTTCTGGTGCCAGGGGTTTTACACACTGGTGTACATGGAGCCTGTGCCTTACAATGAGCTACACCTTAGACCCTTGTTTAATATTTCGAGTTGAATTCTTTTTTCAGATATTTTCTAGTCCTTACATTTGCAAGAATTTAGCCCTTAAATTTGTAAGAAACTATTGAGAGTAACCAATACTGGCAATGAGATCATTAAAACATTGCAAATCCAGACAGAACGAACTGAAATGCAAAGCAATCCTACTTTGCTTTCGTGTAATGCGCTAACATTGCTTTGTCCTTCAGTTTTGATTTACACAAACTGCCTGGGAGACAGAATTTACTGACTCTACATAGACCAAAGGACTTGTGCTGTCAGTGTTAAAACAAAACAAACTAAGGAGTAGACAAAATTCCCTCAAATTGAGTCAGTTTTAAGGTTTTTGTTTGTTTGTTTGTAAGACTATTAAATGAAAGAAGGAAAACCTCTACAATCAATCCACTGCAATATTTCTCTTCCTTGTGTTTATTTACTGCACAATAAACAAAGATAATAGCAATAAAGGACACTTTCTCTTCGTTTTTTAAAGAAAGTTAAAATGTCCACAATTCCATCATCATAACACATTTTATTTTAATTTGTAAAACTCGAGTCTTTGTGCTTATGCAGTTGGTGTGCCTGATAACTTGTATAACATTTGAAAATTCACTTAAATGGATATCTTCTGTCTCAAGTGCCCCCTTCTTTGAAGCAGCGGGATTTTCTGACACAGTAATAGCTGCTACTCCATTAACACTGAAGTGGTACGATAAACAGTTTCTTCCCATGGACCAAAGATTTTTATACCCCAAATTTAAATTTGAAAGATATACACATAACCTCTTCTAGTCACATTACAAATCTTTTTGACCTTAGCAATTTCTTTTCTTCCATTGCTTCCAAATGCTTGTCAATATGGCAGTAACTGTGTGTCTAGTCATCCAGTGTTAACATTTGGAAAGAGACGAGAGTCAGGTCTGGACTTTCCTCTTAATACCCTCACTTTTAAGTCCCACATTTACAGCAATCCTATTGAACTTTAGTTTTGTCTTCTTATTTGTTTTTCTGAGACAGGGTTTCTCTACATAGCCCTGGTTGTCTTGGAGCTTGCTCTGTACACCAGGCTGGCCTTGAACTCACAGATCCCTCTGTCTCTGCCTCCCAAGTGCTGGGATTACAAGCATGAGTCACCACCACCTAGATAGTTTTGTCTTCTACAAATAGAAAAATTACATGTTTTTTCTAAGGATTGGACAGTGCCAAATCACAATTTATGAATTCAGCAAATGTTATGTTTTTAATCTATGAGTTGTTTTTGAATATATTATTTCTTGATATTGACCTTCGAATTGATTAATTCAGATTAATACAGAAAAATTCATGCACATTTTAGCTTTCCTGGGCACTTATGAAATGACTGTCGTCAATATCTAAAATGATTTTACTTTTTTATTTTTCCAGTCCTGCCTCCAACTCCTAGGATTGCATGATCAGCTGCAAAGAACCAGAAGATGAAAGAAGACGAAAAAACAAAGCAAAACAACAAACAAACAAACAAAAAAAAAAACAAGTAAAAAGGGGGAAATGGAAGGAAAGAAGGGAGGAAGGAAGGAAGGAAGCGCTTTGTAATAAGGAAAGAGTAATTTTTAAAATTATAAAAATTCTTTGGAATAGGGGTCAAGACCATGCTGGTGAAACCCACAGAGACAGCTGACCTGACAAGGGGGAGCTCTTCGACCCCAGAATGATGACTGAGAGACCAGCATGGGACTGATCCAGACTCCCCTGAAGGTGGTGTCAGTGAGGAGGCCTTGACAATCTCTGGGGCTTTGGGTAGTAGATCAGTGTTTACCATGGTGTATGAATGAACTTGGGAGCCCATTCCATATGGAGGAATCCTCTCTCAGCCTGGACAAATGGGGGAGGGCCTAGGCCCTGCCCCAGATGAAGTGACAGACTCTGGAGATTCCCCCATGGAGGGCCTCACCCTCCCTAGGGAATGGTGTGGGGATTGGGTATGGGGCTGGGGGGCTGGTAGAGGGACAAGGGAGGAGGGGTGGGCGAGGGAGCTGGGATCGACATGTGAAGCAAGCTTGTTTCTAATTTAAATTAAAAATACATTGAAAAATTTCTTTGGAATATCAGTGCATTACTACTCATCTCTGACCTTTCTTAGTTTTCTTTTGTGTAATTTGCTGCTGTTTGGTGTTTTCTATTGCTGCTGTTTGGTTCTGTGAGGTCTCACATTGAATATAGCTTGAAGAAGTCTGGAGCTTTATTCATTACCCATCTCACAAAAACCACAGCTCCCGTGCTTTGGGAAATAGCCGATAACTCATTCTGCAGACATTTTAAGTTACCATGACCTGAGAACACAGGTTTAGGCTACTCCATATTCCATGTCCAACGTGGAAGCAGTTTCATAAAGTTTTTATAGTTTTACAGAACAACACCAACAAAACCATAAATCAAGGAAGTTTAAAATACTTTGGTGGCTCCTTCAGAGAGGCAGAAATATCAGGATAGGGGAAACCTTTCTTTAGGCCTAAAATGTTATCTGATAACATTCTTAAATCTTGGATTGGTGGATGCTAGTGTTCTGCTATGTTACCAGCTTCTAAGAGGTTTTTTTATACTTATTATCATGAGGTGTTAGTTCAAATACATAGTGGGGTAAGAAATGGCTCTTCCAAAAGGCTAAAACTATCCCAAAATAAATAATTTACATAGACCTACAACATTTCAACCTCCACACAGTACTGAAATTGAAAATTGGTCGTCTGTCCCTGGGGTCACAGAGGGATGGTACCCCCCATAATGGGCTCAGCCCTCCCACATCAATCAGGAATTAAGAAAATTCCCTACAACTTGATCTTATGGAGGCATTTTCTTAATTGAGGTTCCTTCCTTTCAGATGACTTTAGCCTGTGTCAAGTTGGCATAAAGCTAAGCCAATACAGGAACCAAAGGCCGAATGGAAACCTGGCTTCTCTGTTTTCACTTTTCAGCCTGCCTCTTCTACTTTGGTTGAAGACACAGGGATAAGTCACCACCCTAACCATTCAGTCACCTTGTGTTACTACCATGTCACTTCAGCCTCCTCTCAGCTCTCCAATCCTTGTGAACTCTGTCAAAAAGAAGTCAGAGTAGACACAGAGACTTTATGGTAGACTACAGAGTGGGACACTCTATAAGGGGTCATTATAAAGTGGGACACTTTTTTTTTTGGTTTTACAAGACAGGGTTTCTCTGTTTTGGAGGCTGTTGGTCCAGCCTGGCCTCGAACTCACAGAGATCCGCCTGCCTCTGCCTCCCAAGTGCTGGGATTAAAGGCATGCGCCACCAACACCCAGCAAGTGGGACACTCTTAAGGGATCAGGGTGGGCAATAGCCAGAGAGACCCTTGTGAAGCCAAACACATGACCAGTAATAAAGCCCTTCAGTTTCGGGTCTTCAGTTTACAAACGGGTGACAATGAAGGAGCTTGTCATAACGACTTTAAGCCAGCTATTATCGAATTTTCTAACTATCTTACACTTGGATTCCCAAGAAAACAAGCTACGAAGCACAGAGCATATCCTGGACAAGGATCATTATTCCTAGAGGCAAGGCTCTGCCCTGGGAGAAGAGACCACTTTGCAGGAATTAGATTGATTCACTCAACTGATGTCATTAAAAAATCTTTAGCTGAGAGAACTACCTTGAAGAACAGAAGGACCACAATGGTCAACCATACCTTGACCTAGTGTCATGAGTGCACCATGTTAGAAACATAGACAGACATGTTTGTGTGTAATGGATTTTCCTTTGGGCTGCCAGCTCACAATAAAGGACACAAAGACTTATTATTTACTATGAAAGCTCAGCCTATAGTTTAAGCTTATCCTGCTAGCTCTTTTTTTTTTTTTTCCGAGACAGGGTTTTTCTGTGGCTTTGGAGGCTGTCCTGGAACTTATTTTGTAGACCAGGCTGACCTCGAACTCACAGAGATCCGCCTGCCTCTGCCTCCCGAGTGCTGGGATTAAAGGCATGCGCCACCAACGCCCGGCTCCCTGCTAGCTCTTATAACTTAAATTAACCCATTTATTTTAATCTGAAAGACTCCGGCCCAGCGCAAGCAGCTGAGGCTTATGGAAAACTCCTTTCCCCCACAGCTCAGCCATTTTTTATCAGGAGGGAGCTCAGCTCAAGGTCTTCGCAGCTGAATAGTCACTACTATCTCTGTCCAGATAGGGGCACAGGTGTCTATGGTCTGCATAGCCAGCCCAGAAAGATTGGGCAGGCACAGAAACCTTTTGTTCTTCGGATAGGGCCAAGGCCGAGAATTGAGTTCTGAGAGAAACCTTAATTGCCTCTCTGTCCAGATAGGGGCACAGGTGTCTATGGTCTGCATAGCCAGCCCAGAAAGATTGGGCAGGCACAGATAAGGCCAAGGCCGAGAATTGAGTTCTGAGAGAAACCTTAATTGCCTCTCTGTCCAGATGGGAGAAACCTTAATTGCCCTCGTTCTGAGCCCCAGCCTCATTTAAATTACCCAATCAGGGTCCCGTAACTAGGCTTCTCGCTTCTGTACTGCGCTTTTTGCTATAAAAGAACCCCTGAGTCCCCAGCTCGGGGCTCTCAGTTCCCGAGACTGAGATGCCCCGGGTACCCGTGTATTATCAATAAAGCCTCTTGCTGTTGCATCCAAGCTCGTGGTCTCGGTGTTCCTTGGGTTCGGGTCTCCCTCCCGTGAAAGTCCCCCGCTTGGGGTCTTTCAAATCTACATTTTGTCTCGTGGCTTTTACCTCTCTTCCATCCTGCACCTCCTGTCTCCTTTCCATGTCTCTCCTGACCTATTATCTTGTATTTATTATCCTAAATAGCTTTCAAGGATGAAAACATTTTTAATAAGCTGAATAGGTATAATACCTTAAATAAGAATAGAATGACTAAAACCCACCCACCCTACCTCTTGGGAATACGAACATCATGTTCTCTAGATGGCTTTCTGATGTCTGGGGGCAATTGCATCTTTGGGGGATCCTAAAAAAGCTGAGATAATGTGCCTCCTGCGCAGCCTGTATCCGAGAATGTGGCAAGGTGGTAGGGATTGATGACACAGAGACCAGTCGGTTGCGTTAAGAAAACTTTATGCTCCCCAAATCGGCTTAGGAGAACTTCACAAGAAAAACACTTCCCTTCAGAAAAACTTCTGCCATACATACATGCACAAATCTCTCACACATCTCTCCTTCCTCCTGGCTGGTGGTTAAAATCTCTGACACCAGAATCGGAAAACAGCAGGGAGCAGAAAAAAGTAGCTAGCTATTGGGAAGATCAAAGTCAGGGTGTTTCAGTGAGCCAGCCCTTATCGGAGCCCTATCAGGAGCTTATGGCAATTGTTTTCAGTAAACATTGCCTTGCAGCTGCCTGCTCCCAGGCTGATAAAGGAGTGGGTTTCTGGCCAGGGTCTGTGATCCCCACAATAAAGGTCAAGTTATAAGGAAACTAGCTATAACATTTGTTGTTCAGTCTCTGTGCAATGGGAAGGCACAAGGCTTATCTGTAGTCCTGGCTAGAATAGTCTGTGAGGCTGGACCATCTCAGCCAGCAGTCTAGAAGCTGTTCTGGATGCAGAACTTGTAGGAAACTGCAACAGAGGCTCTCTGAGAGGCTGTATCACCTAGGCCACCCATTTTCATGGGTGTCTGGTCCCTTTGCTCTGAAAACACACAACATTTCAAAGGTAACACACAAATTTGCATTAATACAAGTATGGACTGTGTGTTGCACACAAGCCAGCCAAAGATGATTTTTTGTGTGTGTGCCTTAGCAGGTAAAATATACATCATCTATTTTGTAGTTTTTCTAGGTTTTTTTTTTTTTTTAATCTCTGTAGCCAGGACTTTTAGGAGGTCTTCCCCCAAACAAAACTGATCTCTATTAACCTGGAAGGAATCCACCACCTTTTGTTTTCTGTGGAAACAAAAGCATAACTTCTTCCCTAACATAATACAATTTCTAACTTCCAGTTTCTAAGTTAAGACATTCCTAAAGTATCTAGGCTGGTTTAATTCTGTCCCTCTTACAATCCCATGTCTCTTAGCAGCTGTTGTTTGCTGATCAGCATTCAAAAAATTTAAAGTCAACAAGACACCATATAGGATCCAGACTCTGTATTTTCTGTCTCTATGTAGCTTATTCTTCTTATATGATTTTATTCTCTCTTTAAAGACTTTATCTTATTATTTATAAACTATTCTATGGCTGTCTATAACCATTTTCTCTTCTTTTTTTAAGCCTACACACATTTTAAAACATAGTGTACCTTTTTAGAGGTGTTATGTATCTAGATCTGGCTTTATTAAGCATCTGCAGCATTCTTTGATTGCATGAATCAAATCTTAACCTGCAATGTCAGCTGCCGCACAGCTCAGTTTAACACACGGTGCTGGCGAATGGCCCTGGTGACTGGCTGCAGCCAGCAGGCCGCTGTTGGTAGCCATGCCTCTGTATGCTGAGCACCATCCTGACCCGAGAGACTGCAAGACTGGAAAGCCAAATCCGGCTCCT